AGTATAAACCAGACATATTTCACTAGGGCCTTGCAGGCTTTTTCACGGCTCTGCCTCAGGACTCTTTTCAGGCCTGTGGCATTTATTCAAAGAACATTACATTTGCTCTACGGAGTTGCTTTTAAGATACAAAGCTGCCAGATTGTACCCCAGGCTTTACCCAGATGTCTGGGAGCTCCCCCGAGTCTCCGTGTTTAGAGTGGGGGCAGGGGGGGCGGGGACAAAGAGTAACTGCTTCCAGGTTCTCCAGACTTTCTTAGAGCCTCACAGAGTTTCATTAAAGCTTGCATCTCAGGGACTAGGCAGTCTGCCCTTCTCAGCTGCTCCCTACCCACCCCTTGCAGAGCACAGGGCCTGATCACCTCATCAGGCCTGGGAGAGTCTCAAGTGATGCTTTTGGTTTGTGCTTGGCTGTTGTATGTATGCTTTGGGTATCTTTCTGAGGGTCTCAGCTCTCTTGAGGGTCTCAGCTCTCTTAAGTCAACAAAGCTTCCTCCATTTGTTTTGCTTAAGGCACCTCCAAATTCATTCAAACCTTTTTCTGAGGAGCCTAATATAGAGGTAACCAGTGTCCTGGCTTATCCCGGTGTTAAAGTAGAGCTCCTTTTCACGCTCAAAAGAATTCCTTATTTGCAAGTTACCCTAACTAGAGTGCTCATCCTATCGACGTTCTTGACCAAGCTTATTAAATCGCCATCCCTCATTCCCAAACCTCCTGAATGATGCCCTCTTGTACCCCCTGCCTTGAAGAATGCTATCACTGCTGCCGCCTTCTCTTTCCTCAGCCTCACCTCCAGGTCTACAGCAGATGTCAACTTCTGCTGCTTCTGCCTCCAGAGTGTCTCTCAAAGGTGTCCTCTCTTCAATGTATCACTGCTGCTGACCTTTAGATTGGGGAGGTCTGGGGCTGTCAGTATCAGAGACCTACCTGTGCCGGGCCGGTAAATGAACAGAGGGCCTGAATATACGTACTTTACCCTCTTGATCCATCCTTTGTTTTCAATCTTTTTGATAGAGATTAGGATTCATTAAATGTTTCATTTTCCTCTTGATTCTCTATAAGTTAAAAAAACAAAAGCACAAGCACAGTGATAAATGACATGGACACTCCACCTTAGGGACGATGATTAATGGCAGTGGGAGGGACAGTGGGAACCAGAGCGTGCATGTCTCACCCATGGGCCCAGCTGCTCTCCTCAGCCGGGCCAGGAAACTGTTGTCTGTATGAATGTGAACCTCCAGATATTCTTTTCTTAAAAAGTTGGAAATTGGGATGGTTTTGATGGGAAATCTCCCAGTTTCACATCATAAATCATAAACGATAGTCTAAAAGTACCATCTAGGCCAAATAAAACATCTGCAGTCACTTTTGGGCCCCAGGCTTTGGGTTTGTAGCCTCTGCTTTGCCCCTCACATTTCTTGTCTAGACTGTTGCAGTGGACTGCCTCTGCCCCTTCTAAACCGGCCTCCACACTGCCCTTGACCTTGGCTTTCCCAGTGACAGATCATATCACACAGAGGTCTTTGCTGGCACAGGACACTCCTTAAAGCTGCACATGAGACCTCTTTCAAAAGTCTGACCCGACCCCTCTTCAGCTGTGTCTCCTGCCGTCCCGCACACACCACGCCACACCAACTACTTGCTGACCCCTGAGCAGTGCCAATATTCATTTTTAATGTATTTGTAGAGCAATTTTCGATTTTCAGGAAAATTGCAGAGGTGTTACAGAGAATTCCCATATACAGCAGCATGGAGCCAGTCTCCCTACACAGTCGAAATCCACATGCAGTTCTTGACTCTCCAAAAAGTTAACTATAGAAACCTTACTGATAGTATAAGCAACTAGTCAGTACATATGTTGTATGTTATGTGTGTTATACGCTGCATTCTTACAGAAAAGTAAGCTAGAGAACAGAATAGGCGATTTACACAGCCCTCAAGGAAAATACAGTTAGAGACTCTATTTGCCAATAGTATAAGTTTATGTCCGCTTATGAGAAAATCTGAGTTGGTGTATTTGTTGCAATTAATGAGCCAATATTGACACATTATCATTAACCAAAGTCAGTATTTAACAGTAAGTTTTCCTCTCTGCCTTGGGGCTGCCTTCTTGCCACAACCTGGCCTTCCACAATTAGGGTGGGCTCTGTGTCACCTAACTGTGTCCATTCCTGACCTGGGGTTGGCGTCCACAGCAGCTCACCGAGCCACCAACACAGCCTGCAGGCAGAGCTAATGCAGGAAAGAGGCACCAGACTCTGGGTTTTCAATTGTCTAGGGGAGATTGGTTCCTTGAAACCTACACTACTGTATATGGACATTAGTTCAGCAACTGCTTGTTGAATTACTGCCATGGGCACGACTTGATGGAGGGTGAGGTTGATTGAGCACAAGAGAAAAGTAATGGCAGTGCCCCCGAACAGACTATAAATCCATCCAGGCAGAGTCAGGACGCTATAGATTTTCCACTTGTTCGTGACTGGAACAGGGAGTCTGCTTGTCCTGTGCTTCAGTCCATAGGACAGCACCTGATAGTGACTGGTTTGGATCCTTTTGCCAATGTGGGGTCCCTACATTTGCAACTTTGTACAGTTCCCAAGTGCTTCAGTGAGTCTTCTCCTCAATTCCAGTACCTGGGGTTTTTCAGTGTAGTCCTATACTAGAAGCTGTTTCCAGATCATCTCAGCTTGGCTTAATCACATACTTAGGCCAGAATTTCTTTTGGTCCAGAACTTTAGCAAAGAGGACGTTTCCTGGCCACTGCCGACCTTTCCGAGCTGATGGATCCTTTCTAGGAGCTGCAGGAGTCTCCTGCTCTGTTAGGCCGTTGTCCCAGGGACCTGGCCTTACTTCTGAAACCACCAAAGGAGGGCTTCATTTTTCTTGAATAAGTGAAACACCACACTAAATGCCATGTGAGGGTGGTGATGTATTAAATATTTTCATTTACTTTCTTGAAAAAATGGTCTTCAGTACAATAGCCTGTTGAAGACTTGTTTATAGGCCTTTTTTCTCTACTCTGTCTGCTCATCTTCTCGAACCCTGGTCCACATTTTCCTTGATTTCTATGATCTCATCTTTCATTTATATTGTTCTGAATTTCCTACATCTTATTTCCACCAGGGTTCTGCTGAGTATACCCCCTCTCCATTTGTCCATGTAAACAGATTGCCCTCTGTTCCTGGTGAATAACCAGGATCACAATTGTTGCCTGGTTTGTACCTAAGGTGACAGAATTGATAGACCTGTAGGCTGATTTTCATAAACCAGAGCTACCAAGCGTTTCAAAAACAGCCTTGTTTTTGCCAAGAAAGGTGAGCAAATATAGGGCTAAGTTTAAACATCCATCAGAAGTTATTTTTGAAGTGATTGCTCCTAAATAAGAGGCATTTGAAAATCTCACAGCTTTCTTTACAAGTAAATTCCAAAGTCATGTATTTTGCTGGTGTCTGCTGATTAATTACGATCCTGTGACACCATGAAAAGCCCCGGTGGTTGGTTTTGTGCAGCTGTAGAGGAAAGTAAAGCAAAGCCCAGGGACTCTGCCAACTCTTTCAGGAGAGTGGGGATTCAGGCAGAGGGAGGTATTTTTTTCACTCTGGCAGTCACCACATAAGAACAGAAGCCCCAGCCAGGCCCATTTCTCCAGACTTCACGACGGGTGGCTTAGGTCCCTGCGGGGGTGTGGTGAAGTAGTGATATTTGATCTGCTGCTTCTGAAATAACAGATCCATTATTAGAGCGGCCATGTGCAATCTCCACATTGGGACTTGCATGCATTCTCCTATACAGCTGCTTCTGATCCAAAAAAAAAAAATTAGCAGTTACATAGTCAGGTTTTATTTGGGGGGTGGGGCGGGGGGATTAAGAGGTGGGAACTCTAAATATAAAGTGCTCCGCCTGGATATTTGTTATCAGTAATTGCAGATGTCTGACCCAGGAAAACCTGCTAGCTCACACCCATTTAGGATCTGATGATTCTGGGTCTCATTTATCTTGGCCTCTTCTTTTTTCTCATTACCTCTTCTGCATTCACATGTATTATACCCCTCATACCCTTCACTGACAGGAGAGAAAGAAAAGGAAAAGTTGGATCTGGGTGTCTGAATCATGTGGTGCTCTAAAGGAGGAGACAATAGGAAAAGAAACAAACTGTTAAAACAAGCTTTCAAATCCTTGAGGGCTTTGTCTGTGCTGGCTTTGCTCCTTGGTGCTAGCGAAGGTCTCTGCTCTCATGTCAACCCTCGCCCACATCTTTCTCTGCTACAGATTGGCAGTCCAGATTGACGAGTGTATATAACTGACGTACCACGCATGTCTGTGCACGCACATGTACACACACTCTTGCACGCAGTCACTGTTGTGTCTGCTGAAATAACCTTCACTCGAGTCAGAGGCAGCTGGAGAAACTATATGGCTGTCTTGTTTGCTTGCTTCTCATATAGGTAATGTCATGTAAGGGGAAGAAGTGTCACTTCTACTCCTGACATCTCAGTGAAGATCTGCAAAAGAAATCTAACAAGTTCATAAGCATCGCTGTCTGGCTCTTGCCAGGGCAGGTATCAGGTGGCCTGCTCTTCAACCAGGCCTCTTCTGGTAAACCCAGACTTGTAAACCAGTTTAGATTCTCAGATGATCCATTTTACTTAGGTAGGAGGAGTTTGACTTCCAAAAGGTACTTTTTTTTTTTTTATCTGAGTGAGACTGCTAAAAAGGATGTTTGCATTTCTTTGCTAAAATCAATCTGCCCATTGCTTATAACTGAAAGCTCAGTTGTATCAAATGATTGTCAGAATTTGTCCAGGAACTCTGAGCACAGACACAGATTAAGGACATAGGTTCCTCCCAAATGATGGTAGCCTCCAAAATCAACAGGCTTTTTGGCAAAGAGACTAGAGCCATGTTCTGCAGGTGTCCGTATTCTTTGAGGGGACTATTTTGAGCATTTAGGAAAAAATATATTTTCACAGCAGGATGTTGCTTCTCTTTTTTGGTTTAGGTTTTTCATTTGTTACAAGCCTCCTCAGACTCCAAGTACAGAATGAATACATACTTTCAGCAGGAGCTGGCTGACGTTGCTCTTTGTACCAAAGCCAAACTCTGGCTGGCCAAGAGGTATGTTAAAACCCCACATGAGCAAAGAGTTATCAGGGGTTAGGAATACATTGGAGAATTGCTGTTTCTAGTTTGTGGAAGTTTTAAGTCATTGGCATGAGTTTTCTAAACTTATTGGAGTATTTATCTTTTTAGAACTTTGGTTTGTGGTAAAGAAAGAAAAATATTTTTTTGACAATTTTTCTAAAACTGCTTTGTGGCTGGAAGACATGTAATATGGCTTTTTATCTGTCTACCAATCATCTTGTTTTTATTAATACCTGCTCTGTGCCCAGCCGTGTGTAGCTGTTACAATGGAAGATCGTAATGAACTAACACATGTGGTACAAATGCCTCGGCACTATGGAAACTGAAAGATCAGGGTAAGATTTGAGCAGGACTGAGTGGCATAAGAAAAAAGCATGGAAGTCACTCTTTGGGGGTAGTAGTAGAGTAGCTTGAATAAGCAAAGGCAAAGGAGGGTGAATACTTAGATTTTTTTTTTCATCCTTGCTACTGTTAGTTTATTCTAGAACTTAGAACATTCACTATAAAAAGATAGAATAAAAAGAATTTCTCATTTAATGCACAGGGAATACTGTCTGTAACACCTAGTTCAGAATCCATGTTGCAGGACTCAGTACTGGCAGGAGAGTTTTACTCCAAAGCCCTGCTACAGTTTCTCAGAGGCCCAGCACAGCAGAAAGTTCAGGAGAACCTCACATTACCCCACTCCATGTTGTGCTTGATTAAGAACTGGGTGTCCAACATAGCCTCTTTTTTCTGTTTCAAAAATGTGCTTTTATTGGGCTTCCCGTTATAAATGGCAAATTAAGCAGTGTGAGGCCTGTGAATCAGTTGCATTTGACAAAGTATTGTTGAACACAAGGCTACCTGTTAGTTGTGTTAGGATACAGGAATACAAAGCTATGGAAGAACTAATCCTAACTTCAAGGAACTCACATCCAGGAAGTGACAAAGGTATGGAAGTAAGTCATCTTCACCCATATGGTAAGGGTAACAGCAAGTGTATATAGCAGGTATAGGAGTACTTCAGAGGGTGCGAATACGTAGCACGTCCCAGGACAGGAGTAGAATTTTGCCAAGTGCCCAGGCAGGGAGGGGCATCCCAGATTCATAGGCAGAGACACGGCATTTAAAATAGCTTAATTGACACACAGATCTATTAGGAAGTTAGTTCTTTCTGGAACATAAAGGATGTGGCAGAGAAGGAGACTGGGGGAATATGTGGATACCAAGCTGTAAAACCTCCTGAAGGAAACCTCCTGAAGGTGGAAGGGAGCTAGAGAAGGGCTTGTTAGTATGTACATGTGTGTCTAAGCTCTTAGAGCTTTGAACAGGGATATTGATGGGGAAATTTTCTAGTGTCTAAACTGCCAATAAATGAACAGAACCTCTCTTATTTATTATTATTTAGTTGTTGATATATATATTTTTTTTAATTGCAATAGCATTGGTTTACAAACCAATGCGACTTAGGAGTATAGGCCCACAGATCTTTAGGTGTATGTCACCACACCACACCCAGCGCCAAAGCACCCAGAATCTTCCCCCCATAATCCATCATAGCCTCTCATTTTAGATCCACTTTTTGTTTTCTCTCTTTTATTTAGAGAGAAGAAAGTATAACTATAAACTGCTTCCTTGAGCCTCCTTGAGCCTACAATCATTTTCCCTCTATGATATCTTCCTGAGATCACAGGGGAATCGTGCTCTCATCTGCTTGCTAATTAGGAGACCACATCTTTCTCCCTGTTCTTTCTGGGGATCAGAAAGACAGGGCTATCCAGAAATCATTCTATAGAAACCCCTGCCTCCAGGTACTGTATTGTTTCTTAATGTGCTGAAAAGAAGGAGATTGTATCCCCTTCCCTTGCACTCCTCCTTGGGCCTGGTAGAAATCAATATCCCACTGACTTTCTGAGTCTGCTCCTTCATGTTGCATGGGGTAGATGAGGCGGAGTGACAGACCAGCCACCTGAATGAATGGTCTTCCATGCTGCATGTGCCTGAGAGTAGACGATAAAGCTGCCCTCAGCCTCCTCTCCAGTGAGGAATCTCCTGCCTCTTTGAACCTCCCCTGTGGTTCCTGTTGCAGTTTTCTCCCAGGCTTTCCATCATCATCAGGGTCCTCCCCACCTGCTCTCATTTTACTCCTAGAACACAAAGGCATGAACCCCTGCAATTCCCTGGGTTTCTACCTTGCTTGCTGACAGCCCCAGAAAGCCAATTTCACATCTCCAGTACCATCAATTCTTTATTATCCAGTGTGAAATTCTCACTTTGTGGGTGGTCTGTAGGTGATCCTACACCAGGCTTCCTCTTGCTCCCCAACACACTTTTACCATAGTAATCAGGATGTGTTCAGAGCCTGGAATAGCATATAGGAGGAACACACACTGCCAGAGGTCAGTGCATTCCCGAGCCACGAGTCAGTGTTTCTGTGCCATCCATACCCCTAACAGAATAGCCATTGGGATAGGAGAGTATGAAATTGGATATATTTGATGAAGTCTTGGCCTGCCACATGCCTGCCTTCCCCTTAGGTCCTCTGAGAGTGTTGCCCCAGAAGGAATTTTCTACACTAATAGCCGCAGGCTCACATGAGCCCATTCTGGGTTCTGGTGGGCCCCTCACAAAGGGGACCCCTGTCTTCACATTCCCACCTGCCTTTCCTATGAAAAATGTTACAGTGCAGAATATTCCAAATTCCACGGCTAAAGAGGCTCCCTTATGTCCCTAGCAACTTACACAGGTAAGAGGAATAAATGTTCCTCTGTGCCTAGTAAGGATTGTCTGTATCTTTTTGAGTATAAGCTATGAAACATTAATGTTACTTTAAAAAAAATTGTTGGCTTAAATTTTAGCACCAACACCTTTTTCCTTCTAGAATTTATTTGATTACTAGCATGAGTTCTTTCAGCCCAGTAAGTACAAAAACACTAGTGAGAGTGTCATTTATTTGTCTTTTTAATTCCCAAAGAAAGTTGAAAAAAAAAATTTCATTAGAACCATTGGACAACTAATTTCATTTTTAAAATTTTGACCCTGAAATTGAGGGCACACAAAATAAAGACTTTGGTCATATATTTGTGTTTTGACTTCGCAAGATTAATAAGGATTTATATGAGGTGATTAAGCAATAGCCATGGAGTTGTTGGGGAATTCTTGGTGATGAATGGCCAGCTGGCATCATGGTCTGAGAAAAAGGCCTGGGCTTCTGCTCTTACAGGCCGCTTTTCATTCCAAGATGTCAAAGCCTTTATGGAAATCAGCTCATTAATCCTTCAAGTCCCTTCCTTCCCCTTTTTCCTCCATCCCTCCCTTCTCAGTCCAGTTTACTGTCTCTCACAGTGTGAAGGCGGTTTACCCACTACTGAAGGAGAGCTAAGCTGACCCAGACTAAAAACCAAGTGAGAATAGGGGTCAGTGCTGGCCTGGAGCGGCTGGCTGTGGGCGCCATGAAAGAGGGGCAGCACAGCCCCCACACGAGTGAGTGGCCTGTCTGCCTCCTTGGCTGTTTGCACATTCCAGCTTGGCTCTCCCAGCTGAAGAGCCCTGCCTGAAGGGGAAGGGCTTTTCAAAAGGCCTGTCAAGCTGGACCAAGAGAAGAAAAGACTTATTTACTTGGATTGAGAGTTCTATTATATATTACTGTTATAGTGGACTTACAACTTTTCAAAAATCAATTTGGGCATCTAGTGTCTCCTTCAGTTATGAAAGGGAAAAAGTAAGTGCGTGTGTGTTTTTGTTTTAGTGAACTTGGTGAACCAAATGGGCCGTTCAGACTAAGTGCAATGGGTGATGTGATGACCAGAAAAGAAAAATGTGTCCTCTAAAATGCTGTTCACTTCTTTTTCCTTGATTGTCACTGTGGTATATATTTATCATAGAAAATTAGTCAAGCATAAAATTTGGAAAAGCAGAGAATGTAAGCAGAAACCACTACTGTTGTTGAACTGTTTCATGTGGTTACTTCATCGTTTTCCTTAATGCTTTTTTTTACATAGTTGAGGTTATACTATATATATAAGTTATAGCTAACTATTTTCACTTAACAGTACCATGAAAGCAATTGCTGTTATTAATGAAAGCTCTGATGTAGCTGCTCTGGAAAATAGTATGGCATTTCCTAAAAAAAATTAAAAATAGAATTGCCATATGATCTAACAATTCCACTTCTGGGTATGTACCCAGAAGAATTGAAAGCAGAGTCCTGAAGAGAGATTTGCACATGCATGTACTTAGCATCATTCTTCACAATAGCCAAAAGGTAGAAGCAGCAATCCCAGTGCCCATTGATGGGTAAACAAGATGTGATACTCCTGGGCAGTGGAGAATATTCAGTCTTAAAAAGGAAGGAAATTGTAACACATGTTACCCTGTGGGATGAACTTTGAGGATATTATGCTTAGTGGAATAAGCCAATCACAAAAAAAACTGTATGATTCCAATTATATGAGCTACCTTCAGTAGTCATCACAGACAGAGAAAGTAGGAGGTGGTTACCAGGGGCTGGGAATGAGGAGCTAGTGTTTTTGTTTTTGTTTTTTTTTTAAGATTTATTTATTTATGCATACAGAAGTGGGATACAGGCCAGAGGTGCAGGGGCAGTGAGAGGATTTACTAGAAGCAGAGTAGAGAGCAGAACAGGCAAACTGACAAAGTACACTGCTGAGGGGAGCAGCGGGCAGCTCAGGAGAGGTCTGCCGTGCCAGGTGGGTCACCTCCAGGGCAGGCGGGGATTGAACTCATGCGGAAGTGGCTTTAGCCTCTCAGTGCTGTGTTTTCACCTGCTACGCCACCAGGGAGGGCCCTAGGAGTTAGTGTTTAATGGACACAATAGAGTGTTAGATTTATGAGATGAAAAGAGTTCTGGAGATTGCACAAGAGTGTGAATGTGCTGAACTGTATGCCTAAAAGGATTACGATGGTAAACTTTATATTACGTATATGTTATCAAAATTTAAAAAAATTAAAAGCAAGATCTCTTTGTACCT